CACTCCGCCAGGAATGCCTCAGTGGAATGGGGTGTCTGAACGGAGGAATCGTACATTGTTGGACATGGTGCGATCAATGATGAGCCAAACTGATCTGCCGCTAAGCTTTTGGGGTTACGCTCTAGAGACAGCTGCATTCACACTAAGCAGGGTTCCATCAAAATCAGTGGATAAGACACCATATGAGATATGGACTGGGAAGCGTCCCAGTTTGTCTTTCCTAAAGATTTGGGGCTGTGAGGTCTATGTAAAACGTTTGCAATCGGACAAACTCACACCTAAATCAGATAAATGCTTCTTTGTGGGGTATCCTAAGGAAACGAAAGGATATTATTTTTATAATCAGGAAGAGGGCAAAGTGTTTGTCGCCCGACACGGTGTTTTCTTGGAAAAAGAGTTTATTTCAAGAAAGGATAGTGGGAGCATGGTGCGACTTGAAGAAATTCAGGAAACACCGAAAAACGCTTCAACGTCCACATAACCATAAGCTGAGCAAGATGTTGTTCAACAGGTTGAACAAGTTGTTGTTGAACCAGTTGTGGAAGCACCGGCTTCATGAAGGTCCGATAGGATACGGCGTACACCTGCGAGGTATGCGTTGTTAACTACAGGACAACGTGATATATTGTTGTTAGACAATGATGAACCTACTACCTTTGAGGAAGCAATGGTGGGACCAGACTCTGAGAAATGGTTTGGAGCCATGAAATCCGAAATAGAATCCATGCATGTCAATCAAGTTTGGAACTTGGTTGATCCACCTGATGGTGTAAAAGCCATTGAGTGCAAATGGGTCTTTAAGAAAAAGACAGATGTAGATGGAAATGTTCACATCTACAAGGCACGGTTGGTGGCGAAAGGTTTCATCTACAAGGCACGGTTGGTGGCGAAAGGTTTCAGACAAATTCAAGGTGTTGATTATGATGAAACTTTCTCGCCAGTCGCCATGCTAAAATCTATTCGGATTGTTTTAGCGATTGCTGCCTATTTCGATTATGAGATATGGCAAATGGATGTCAAAACAGCTTTCCTTAATGGAAATCCCGATGAGGATGTGTACATGACACAACCCAAGGGTTTTGTTGATCCACAATCAGCTAAAAAGATATGCAAATTGCAGAAATCCATTTATGGGTTGAAGCAAGCATCTCGGAGTTGGAATATTCGTTTTGACGAAGTACTCAAGGCGTTGGGCTTTGTCAAAAACGAAGAAGAGCCTTGTGTATACAAGAAGATTAGTGGGAGCGCACTGGTATTTCTAATCCTATATGTAGATGACATATTATTGATTGGGAACGATATTCCTATGCTTGAATCCGTTAAGACATCATTGAAAAACAGTTTTTCAATGAAGGACTTAGGGGAAGCAGCATATATTCTGGGCATAAGGATCTATAGAGATAGATCAAAGAGGCTAATTGGATTAAGCCAGAGTACATACATTGACAAGGTGTTGAAGAGGTTCAACATGCAAGATTCTAAGAAAGGTTTCTTACCGATGTCACATGGCATTAATCTTGGCAAGAATCAGTGTCCTCAAACGACTGATGAGCGAAACAAGATGAGTGTGATTCCATATGCCTCGGCAATCGGATCCATCATGTATGCTATGCTATGTACACGTCCAGATGTTTCATATGCACTTAGTGCAACAAGCCAATACCAATTAGATCCAGGTGAGAGTCACTGGATAGTTGTAAAGAATATCCTGAAGTACTTGAGAAGAACTAAGGATATGTTCCTAGTCTATGGAGGACTGGAAGAGCTCGTTGTAAATGGTTACACTGACGCACGCTTCCAAACCGACAAAGATGATTTTAGATCGCAGTCTGGATTTATGTTCTGCCTGAATGGAGGCGCTGTGAGTTGGAAGAGTTCCAAACAAGATACAGTGGCTGATTCTACAACAGAAGCCTAATACATTGCCGCTTCTGAAGCAGCAAAGGAGGCTGTTTGGATAAAGAAATTTGTTTCTCAACTAGGTGTGATGACTAGTGCTTCTAGCCCTATGGACCTTTATTGCGATAATAGTGGTGCCATTGCGCAAGCCAAGGAGCCTAGATCGCATCAAAAGTCCAAACACATTTTACGGCGGTATCACCTCATTCGCGAGATAGTGGGTAGAGGAGATGTGAAGATATGCAAAATACATACGGATTTGAATGTTGCAGATCTGTTAACAAAGCCACTCCCTCAGCCTAAGCATGAGGCACACACTAGGGCAATGGGTATAAGATACGTTTATGATTGACTCTAGTGCAAGTGGGAGACTATTAGTGATATGCCCTAGAGACAATCATAGATGATTGTATCACATACTATGTTTACATATTTATCTGACATTGTTCCTTGAAATAGATAACTCCTTATTGGTTAATGAATATGTGATTCTTTCATGAGACTCTTTATGTTGTTTGTTACTATTTCTAAAGGATCCCTGATCAAATATCATATGTGGAACAAATATGTTTATATGATCAGCACATGTATTAATTGATAATCATGTCTCATGGATCATGGTATAGAGATACCAAATTAATAATGTGGACACATGTTGGTGAACATGTTGTTGGATAGACCCAACATGAGACACTGCAAGAGCCATATGTGTTGTGTCATCAGTGATCTCATTTAGTGTTGGTGTTGAATACTTAGACCTGAGATTATCATGGTTCTCAACATGTGTAGCAGCTTACTTAGGGACTGCTAAACGCTACTCCGTAAATGGATAGCTATAAAAGTAGTTTTCAGGTATGCTATGAAACATGTAGTGGGATATGAATAATCAAGATGGGATTTGCTCCTCCTATGGAGAGATATCTCTAGGCCCCTCGATGTTGTAGATTATGAAAGTGCATGGCCATGCCAAAGGTGATTGAGGAGTCAATCACAAGTTATATAATCTATCAACAGGTTCGAGTGAATGATTGAGCTATTAAAGGATGGCACATATCTAGCCTTGAGCTTAATCGATATCGTGAGGCAAAGGGGTTCATACAAGTATACACTAGAGGTTCAGCCGATATGATCTTTATGTATGCCCGGTGGGTCAATACGTTCTGCTAAGGGCCGCTATTGACGCGTGGACTGAAAAGGAGTTTTCGGGTTACAGCCGAGTATATATGAACCTACAGGGTCGCACGCTTAATAGGTCGGAATAAGGGGATTGGATAGAGATCCAATATGAGCTTAATTCGGATAGTGATCCGAATAGGAGTCCTACGGGTCTTGGAGGCCCGAGTGATGGATCCTATATATTCGTGAGGGGCGTGACCGGCAGAGGCATTGTATCACGTGAGAAACCCTAGCCGCCACTTCCCTCCCCGAGCAAAACCCTAGCCACGCGCGGGTGCTAGCACATCTGCGCGTGGCGTTCCGTCCCTGTACGTGTGGATACCGGTAGAGGCGCCGTTGGTTTGCGGTGCTGATCGGCATGGGAGTACGGCGAGGAGAACGCATGAGGAGGAGAAGGTCGAGCAGGTGCGATCGACTACTTCCTCTACATCGACGCGCGCTATTTCGCGAGAGTTCCTTCGACTTCTCAGCGTTTTCTTCCGCTGCACAGCGCGTCGAGTGGTAACGATCTATGATCTAATAATTGCATGGTTCTTGGTTTACGCGATAGATAATTTTGATTTATGCTATCGTAGCCTACGCGTATCCCAACACGTCGGTCCAGCTCCTCGCCTCCTCGGTGGATGCCACACGCGGTAGATGGGAGGGAGTAAATGAGGGGAAGAGAGAGAGGGGGGAGAAGAGAGGGGTAGTATAGTAAAATGTGCTTTTTTGGTAGGGATACTCATTGGGCTACTAGGGGTATCCTACATTGTGACTTGTGAGGGGAGTTTCCTAGAGAGTACTCTCAGTTAGTGAGGGCACCCATAGAGTATCCCTGATTGGTGATGCCCTTAGTACTAAGCAGAGCCCATGTTATTTAAAAAACAAGTACCGTATCCCCACTCTCCCATGTATATAAGTACCGCATCCTCTCTCTCATATGTACTCCATCCGTTTCACAATGTAAATCATTCTAGCATTTCCCACATTCATATTGATGTTAAGGGTATCCATAATGTAGTAAAGAAGTGGGTATTAGGGATTAAAATATTCTTACTACTAGGTAAGATACATTGTGGAAATAGTAAATAGCTACTACCAAGCCATAAGCTTACTATTAGGTTATAGCACTTTGTGGTGGGTCCTACCTATTTTTTAATTGTGGCATGGCTCATGTTTGGGGTTATTTTTCAGATGGGTCCCACCTTATTACCCACTCTACACATATATACATTGTGGTGCATCTTCAATCTACTATTACCATCTTACATAGGCCCACCTTACTACCTACTTTTGCAACATACATTGAGGATGCCCTAATGAATCTAGATAGATGCTAAAATGACTTATATTGTGAAACAGAGGAAGTATATCATTTTCAAAAGAAGGCACCATGCAGTTCATACCCCATTGCACTGGTATTTTTTTAATAAAACCACTTATATTTTTTAAATCGTATGTTATTTTAAAGATTTGTTTAAACCATTTTACTCCACTCAAAACATGTAAAAAAACAAGTCTAATATTAAATATATTTTGAATAGCAATATAGTTACTTTAAATACCATCAAGAGTTAGTACCGTGAAGAGTACGATGGCTCAAACGGAATCTAAAAATAATACATGGTTTAAAATATGTTATATTTGGTACATCTAGATTTATTAATATTAATATTATTGTGGGAAATTTTAGAATGACTTAAAGTATAAAACGGAGGGAGTATTATAAAAGAACATGTCTACTTCACCGAGAGAAAAAAACAACACGAGAAAAACCTGGCGAGCACACCACCACCGCATCACCGGTCCACCGCTCTTGCCTTCCCCTTTCTTGCAGTGCAGGAAAGAACCCCACGCCCTCATCCAATCCCAGCCGTCCATCCACCATCCAACGCCTCTCACCGCGCCGCTCACCTCCTCAAGACCACCACCCACCACTCCCCTCCTCTCTCCTCTCCATTCCTCCTCGCTTCGACAAACAAAACCCCCCAAAACCCTAGCCTCCGCCGCCCGCCGCCGCCGCCGCCGCGCAACCCCCGAGCTCGAGCGGCGCGATGAACATCAAGGGCGGAGGCCGGGTCCCGGTGCCCCCGGCCGGCGCGGGCACGCTCGTCAAGCTGGTGGTGCTCGGCGGCACGGCCGTGTACGCCGCCGTCAACAGCCTCTACAACGTCGAGGGTGGCCACCGCGCCATCGTCTTCAACCGCATCCAGGGAATCAAGGACAAGGTAACCGGACACGCCCATCCCCCCGCCCCTTCCCTGTTCCATTTCGTTACTTGGATGTGCCGCGTGGTTTGGTTGCGGCGTTAACGATTCGGTCGTTTAGGGGAGAGATTGGTTGGAAATAAATATTTGGTCTCGCGCGCTATCTTATGTTAGGTTGCAGGGTAAATTGTGTTTTGAAGCAAATCTATTTGGGTTTATAGGTGCTATCTGGTAAATCTGAACTAACCAGGTGGTCTTCATGATGTGTGAGATACCTGCCTATCTTTAGATAACTTGTTTAGCTGCAGCGATTTATCAGGCTGAAAACATGACAAGTGTTCCCTTTCTTGTGGGTGATATCATTTGTTGAGGTTTGAGGATTAAAAAGGTCAACCATTGCGTGTGCTGGAACTGATTCCAAGTTCTTGGTAAAAAATCCAATTTGTAGTATGATTGACTGCTGATTCCAGTACCTTATGCCTTGAAAAGAGAATTACCTCTGAAACAACACGATCGCTCTGTACCAATGTGTGTGGTTTCCAGTCTGGCTTGCACTGAGGTTATGAAATTTTCCTGCGCTAGATACCTGTAATTGGTTCTAGAAAGCAGCTGCTTTGTCTTATTTATTGGCCTGCGGCAGGTCCACGAGTACCATGCCGTGGTGTAGTTCAGAACAGATAGTCACATGATGTTTCTACCTTCATTTTTTATGTTGTTTGTTGAAATGATCTGAATGTGGTAAACACTTATTGAAATTAAATTGTAAATGAACACGACTACTTTTGTTTTATCATTCCTTAAAAACCATTTGAAAATATGGTAACATTCATCACAGTCCAGTCGATTTAATGCACACGAGACCACTGCTGGTTGGAAGATGGTGCCAAGATCAACTGAAAACCATTGACTTCTTTCAGTGTTTGCCGCATTGTGGTTTTTTTATACCAAATTTACCATGGACAAGTGCAATCGCATTATTTGATTTTAGTCTGGAAGTCTGGCTGTGACCATTATATATGGCTCGCCATCAGTACAATCAGGGCATATTGAAGTTGTTTGTGTTCACAAAAACACACATTCTTTTCTGTACTCACAATGAACTGCACATTTAGTTCTGTCACACATGCACCTTTTTCTTGTAATTTCTTTAAATGTGGTTCATGGGAGTAACGCATTTCCTTTTAAAATATGTATCTTTATTTTATCACTATGTGGTTTCTTATGCTCTTTCTTTCTCTCTTTTTTCCTTTTCAAAAAGTAATAAAATGTATTGTTATTAATGGCATTCAATTGTGGTTCTCTGTTTCATAATGCAACTTAAATAGCATTAAATTTGTTAGATTTGTTGAAAATATCTGTTATCATATATCTTCTGCTCTAACTATCTTAATCGACCTTAGATGGCCGGTTCCTAGCAATCTACTCAGGAACAGCCTAGATAACGACAGAGGCTGCTTTCACCTTCTTGCCCATAGGTTACTTCGCCCAAACCGACGACACTTCTCCCCACCTTTTTGAGCAGCTTTGATACAGGATATGGCGACTCTTTATTGCGAGTATAGCATGACTATGAACCTGACATGCACACACAGGTGCAAACAAATCATAACAAGGAGTAGTGTCTTTTACATTCTGGCTCCTTGCATTATTTTGGACTAAAAGTAAATTTAGGGTTGTTTTGTTTGCTGTGCCATCCTTCCGTCGCCAGCTGTAGATGGACCCCAGACATCTAATGCCCCCTTTGATATCTTCCTCGCCCAAATGTGTCATGCCTGAGTTAGTCTCCTAGATTCCTTCTTGACATATGATCTCCTGTTCCTTTAAAAATAACATGTCCATATTTCTTGCCTAGAAAAGTAGGTTTCAAATGGAAACGGAGTTACGTATGTATATAGCATGCATGACTTGGTTTCCTTTATATCCCCATAGCTTGATCTTTGTAGTTACCAAGGCAGGTGTTGATGCCGAGAATAGCTCTAATGTAGTGTCTGTCCGCTCCGTGAAGCGGGACCAAATTTGCAGCCCCACACGACCAGATCGTCATTGGGTGCAAACTCTGTCACTTTTGGTACCACCAAGCGGCACCATCTATCAGGTGTTCTGTTGCTGCCAGTCCTGTTTTTCAATTTTGGCTGCTTGCTGAAGAATCGCTCAAAGCAATTGAACTAAGGTTGTGGGTCTTCCTTGCTGTTTTAAATGTCATAAACCCTAGATGATAAAATTGTGAAGCTAAAGCTTGCTTGCAAACAGAATTACCGAACCCTGCAGCAAACCATAGATGGCAGAGCAGCTATTAGCTCAGATAGCAAGTTGTCATGAACCGAAATCATGATGAGGCCAATGTCAGCTGGGAGGATTGCTGAATGGTGCAGGCTGCTACTGATGAGTTGAGGGCTTAGACTGGGATCATGAACATTAGGGGAAAGATTAACAGTTTAATTTTCTTCATTGAATCCTCTCCGGTAGACCAGCTCATTGCCTCTTATAGGGCCAGCTCCTAACAGTGTAATCTAACTAATTTAAATTGATTTTATCAGCTAATTAAAAGGAACAACCTAGATAACTATGGCTGCTGCTGCTGATCTTCTTGGTCCATGCCCATGGTAACCAATATTATGTTTTTATCTTTTAAGATATAATTTGTGATTGTGAGTTATTTCCTTGCTGTTCTTGATTTTCGAATGAGATTTGTTGTGTGCATGCTATTTATTAAAAAAGAGGCATGGAATCAGATTTTACTTCAAAAAAAGAGACCACATGTTTGCATGTTACGTCCACCTCTCACTGTTTACTGTGTTTGGTTAGTCATTCCAAAGTGAGCTTTAGAATTTCCTTATTTTATTTCCTAAATAGGATGGTAGTATTTATCTAAAGTTGTGTTAACAATGCTTGTATAGCTAGATGCTCTATTCTTTCATTGTTAGTGCTGGAGCATTAAATGTTTTATGCTTGTTTAAAGTGTATTATGAAATATGCAAGAAGCTTGCCTATGTCTTCATCATTATAATTATTGATCTTATTTAGTATAAAAAAGAGCTGTTGTGAGTCCTCCCTTTCCTGTGCATCAGAGCTTTGCGTGGATCTTTCGCACTAGGTAAACCTGTATTCTTATTGTGTAAAGTAGTTCTCAAGGTTTTGTTGCTATCATGTGAACTAAGTTTTGGTGCCCTTTCCTTGTGCTGCGCTTAATACTTCAGTTCAATCCACCTTAACATAGCTGGATGACTAATATATATTTAACATGTACTACCTACAGGTATACCCTGAGGGGACTCACTTTATGATTCCATGGTTTGAGAGGCCAATCATTTATGATGTCCGTGCTCGTCCCAATCTTGTGGAGAGTACTTCTGGAAGCAGGGATCTCCAGATGGTACGTTTGCATCTTTTTAATTCTATATTTTCATCGTTGGAATGTGTGTATACTTCTCATCTAATGATAGATATACTTGATTTGATTTGCATGCTCTATTTTCATTGTCATTGCACAATCAAGTTAAATTGAATTTAAAGCCAAAATATGTGCTGCTTAGTGCTTACATGGTTTCATTGTTGATGATGATGAATCATCACATCCTACATTGAATCTTTGCATACATTAAAGTATTGTGTCATTCATAATCATTAACATCTTTGACTGTTAGTTTGTTTCAGAAGCTATTACCACATTTTGCAACTAACCAACCTTTTGCTGATGGTTACTAGGGTTCTATAGCCTTTTGCTATATTTTTTTGTCTGTTTTTTTGCATGTTTGTTTTCATAGCTATTTAGGTTATGATATTAAGTTTGGAGCATACCTAAAGTGGTGTGATTACTCAGAGTTCATTTTGGCTCATGGATTTTAGTAAATTAATTATTGGAGGCAAATGTTAATTGGTCATTCTGTTATTGTTTATAGATAGGTACGTTTAGGGGTAAACCTTTTTTGTGGGCTAACAACCAGACAGTCCTTTTTTACTTATGGCTATATTCCAAATTCTTTCCTACTTTATGATAGCATGTTACTCCTTGTAAAGATATTTGATTGTGGACTTATTTGGTGATTAAAACTGTTCTACTAAACATGCCAGGCATATGTGGTCAGGTTTTAGAAAAAAAATTGAACTAGTGAGTAGTGAGCCAATTAGAAGGGATGTGCCAAATTTTGGAAATAAACACAGTCGAAGAAAATATGCAATTTCGGAAATAAACGCAGTCGATGTTTTAGTTTATGGTTGTGCCATGTGCTTTTATGCTTGGAGTTCCATTTGCTGAACATAAAACCCTTCTTCATATTTTTTATGCATCTATTGTACTCTATTTTTGGCAGGTACCCTTTATATTTTTTATGCATGTATTGTACTCTATTTTGGGCAGGTGAAAATTGGTCTCCGTGTCCTTACAAGGCCCATGCCAGAGAAGCTACCAACTATCTACAGGACTCTGGGGGAGAACTTCAATGAGAGAGTTTTGCCTTCAATTATCCATGAAACACTTAAAGCTGTTGTCGCACAATACAATGCGAGTCAGCTAATCACACAGAGAGAGGTTAAGACCTGAACATATGCTTTTTATAGTCTTTTTTTCTTATATTTGATGGGGGTCAACATTACTTGGGGGCGCTAACTGTTTGTTTCACTCTCCAAATCCAGACCGTGAGTAGGGAGATAAGAAAGATACTGACTGAGAGGGCCAGGAATTTTAATATTGCCCTTGATGATGTGTCCATCACAAGCCTGAGCTTCGGAAAGGAGTTCACTCATGCTATTGAAGCCAAACAGGTTGCTGCACAAGAAGCTGAGCGTGCTAAGTTCATTGTTGAGAAAGCTGAGCAAGACAAGAGGAGTGCGATTATCAGGGCACAGGTAAGAAATCTGTTTTATAGCCATTGCCTGATGTCATGTGCCGGAGATACAGTTTGACAGTACATATTATATAATGGTTTTGCCATTGCATGTCTAGTTAACATTGTCTCTTAAACATGGCCTTTCTCTTCTTTCAACAGGGTGAAGCTAAAAGTGCTGAGCTGATTGGTCAAGCCATTGCAAACAACCCTGCTTTCCTTGCCCTCAGGCAGATCGAAGCTGCCAGGGAGATCTCTCATACGATGTCATCTTCAGCTAACAAGGTGTTCCTGGACTCCAATGATCTCTTGCTCAATCTCCAGCAGCTCACCGTGGCAAACAAGTCGAAGAAATGAAGTCATTCTCGCACCATGTTCTAGGTTATTAGCAGATGTCAGTCTACCAGACAATGTGAGGAACACTTGGTCCTCTCTGTAGTTGCACTAGTGATCATCTGTGATACAGAACTCGACGAGTGACTCAACTTTTGGCAACCGGCAATCTTTTTGCAAATTGCAGCTAAACTTTGCAGGCTACATTTTGACTCTGCTAGTCCTTGAGGAAGTTCAATAAGGAATACCATTCTGTTTTAAGGTTCTCAATCTGTGATTGCGATGATGGATTAAGAAACTGTTAGATCTATTGATCAATCTGGTAGGTCCCCTACTGGTATGTTTATCTGATATCATGCTGAATGTGTAATTTTCAGCAACATTACAGGAAATATGCCGTTGAAGAATCTAAATTAGTACACTGATTAACAGATCGTCGATATGTCCGAGTGGAGACAGACTCGAAATCTGTTGGGATTTGCCTGCGCAGGTTCGAATCCTGCTGTCGACGTTTTTTGCTTAAGTTCTTTTTTGGCTACGACTTGACAGATGATACTCCATATTCGTTTATTGGAAAAACCAGAAAGAAGTTGAACCAGAAACATTTTTTAAGAGAAAATATTAATAATTTTGGCTCTTTGAGCCTTACATTCGATCAAAACTATCACGCCACAGGAAAATGAAGGATCTACAAGATGTGGTAGTTTTAATTTTGTGAAAAAAAAAGTAACTTCTATGCTAACGCATATATTGAGTCTCCTTACTATTACTCCCTCCGTCCCAAAATAGAAATATTTTTAGCACATGTTAAGTCAAATAGTTTTAATTTTGACTATTAATAAAAAAATAATAAAAAAGATCAATCATGTTTTGTGATGATTTTGGGGATAATTTTGTGATGCAAATTTGTGGGTGATTTTTAGATGTTTTTGTGAATATGTGGATGATTTTGGTGATGTAAATTTGTGGATGATTTTTAGATGTTTCTATGAAGTTGCAGATGAGTATGTGATATCAATTTGTTGATGATTTTATCTGTGTGGATGATTTTGTTGTTGAGTTCGGTGTGAAATCAATATGAAAGTAGCAAAAAAAAAAGAGAAAAGAAAAGAGAAAGCATCACGTGGCGCTTTTATTTTTACTCCCGCTTGGTGACTCAAACCAAATATCGCTACCTTTAGTCCTGGATTCTCTCTCTCGATTTGCAACCTGGGACTAAAAAGGGTTGCGAACGGAGAGATGTGGGGTACTCTGGTAGTGATCCTATATAATTGGTACCCACTAAGGGGCATTTATACTCCTATAAAGTAAAACATGCAAGAAGCCACATCATCAATAATTTTAAGCCATCAGATCATATTAGTACAAAGATAACAACCGTTGGATCAAAAAGCTACTTATTCATCCAATTCAATCATTTATTAGCAATCCATTCACCTCAATTTGCTCCACCTCATAGTCACACATAGCATTGTTACATATTTTGTGTATAACACCATGTTTTCCGAATATAATTCAAATTATTGTTTAACACGTGATTATTATTTAATATGTGTGTTTTATTTTATTATGCATGATAAGATGGCATATAATTATTAGGTATCGTTAACTGAATACATTTTCAGAAAAAGACGAGTGAAGTAGAGGTATGCAAACTGTCTAACTACAACGATACACATATTGCGCATGAAAGTAATATTCATATATTATAACAATACACAATGACACTTGGAAAAATAAAGCATGAATTTATTGTAATAATATAAGGCATATATAAATCCATATTATCGTATATTTTGTATATAAATAGAGTTGCACCTAACCATTTAAAACTATGATTTTGTTTGATCATAAAATTACAAAACCCGCGACAAAGATGTGGGGTGCCAACTAGTAAGTTCAATGACAGACTCCTAGCAGAAAGATCCGCTCATCCTCGCGCGAACCTAGAACAGAAACCGAGAGAACGCCGAAGGCCAAACTAGGAAGAAGGAAGGGAAGGCGAGGGAACATGACCTCCTAGGTGACGCCTCCAAGAAGGTTGCAACGTCAAAGGTGCCACCGTCGCCTGCTCATATTGGACTAGGTTTTCACCTAAAAAGTCATGTCGGGGAGGGAGGATGGCAGCTCAACAATGCCCACAAGAGGGAGCACGGCATCAAGAGGCGTTGTCATTCTCGGCCCAAAAATCGAGCTAGGCTTTTGCCAACTGTATCATCTCCCTCCGAACCATCGACATCCCAAAGCTCTGCCACCCGAACGACCTCCTCCATCACGTGGGCTCGTCGCACCAGAGCCCCTCCGCTGGCCAACACCCCTGTCACAGCCCCAGCTCGTGCCACACACTACCTCGCTCCGCTAGCGCCTCCACACTGGGCTCACCTCACACACCGCAACAGTCTCCTGCTGTCACTGACCGCATTTTCGCACGCTGCATCAGATTCCGCACTACAAGCCGCGCCTCCACGCGTCACACCAGTCTATCGCTGTCGCCGACCACCGGATCTGGCCAGAGGGTACCAGATTTGGCGCCCACTGCTGCCGCTACCGCCTCGACATTGCCGCCGTCACTGCAATCCCACCGCATGACATCGCTGCCCCGCCGCCTATCACCACCTCCGCTCGGCTCTAGATACAGCGATGTCCATCGTGGATCCGGTCGGGTTTGGCGCGTGGGTGGCTCTCCGTCGCCGCCGTTGTCGCCTCCCGTGCCCCACCTTTGTACTCTGCCTCCCGTACCCCGCCACCGCCGGCCCGACCACGCTTGCACCACCTTTTCCTGCATGCCAACCTCAACGCCGGCATCCCTCCGGCCATCCTCAACCTTTGAGTCTGCCACGCCGGATCTGTGGAGGCCGCCGCCAACCTCACAAGTCGCCGGCTTTGGTGGCCACTTGCTCTGGCGGCTGCGTCTAGGGTTTCCACCCGAGTCGCCCGACGCGGGCAGTGACGCGGACGTGGGAGTATAGTGTTCTTGGTCTATTTTCACGATGATACCTAGGAGAGGCCGGATGGAGAGGACAAAAGGTGGGTGAGGTAGGATGCTTGTAGTCCGGGATGGGGTCCTTGACCTGGACCACGTTATCCACACGATTTCCAGTGTGCCAATGTATCGGCCCATTTGGTACGTGATATACATCGGCTTTTACAATTAATATATAAATAATAAAGCATTAGATGCTGCCAAATACTCACGAACTAATATTAAACATGCATGGTTACACAGAATTATGGAGCCCCGTTGATTATCCTAATAAACCAAAGCTGTTGACGGTCGTTATACACCAAATTCGACTGTCAATATAACTAAAATAAAGAAAAACTAGCTATGCTTGCAATGCATATTTATTTAAGAATAATATAGTTCCACTTGTACCTAGAGTATTATTTGTCTGCAGAGATTAATACATAAATGGAGAAGAAATGAGAACACTTCACTCCTAAGCAAGCTTAAGGATAAGATGGGCCCACATGTCAGGTGTAACCATGCCGGAAACCGCCATAACTGCCACAACTGTCATAGGGACCCACCTGACAGTGACCTGACCGAAGCTGGAGGCCTGCTGGGCCGGCCCAGGTTCGGCCGAACTCTGACAGCGGTAGCTCAGCTCGGCTCTCCAGTGTACGCTCCAGATGACTCCCCAATGACGGTTGCGGGGCATTTCTGACAATTCCAACCGTTTTAACCATCATTGCAAGGCTATATAAAGAGGTCACTTCATTCATTCTCCAACACACTCAAGCAAGCTCAAGATCTTTCCCTATACTTTAGTTTTGTGCTCTAGTGCTAAGTGGAGTAGAATAGAATAGCTCTTGGAGTCCTCAGAGTCTTCGGAAGAGTTCGAGTATGGCTGTAGTAGCTTTTCTTTCTTCTTTTGTATGACTTTCAGAATTACTAGTATATTATTCTTTATATACTCTCGGTACTTTATTTGTCCGAGTATCGGCTTTATTTTATATCTATGTCATTATAGTTGTGTAGCTAGCCTACCAGAGAGGTGCAATGGTGTGGGTTTAATGTCCGATTATTCGGTTGCTCTGTGTCATTCCAGGGGACATAGAGTAGTAGAGGTGGTGTGTAGATTATTAAGTATCATTATCTGAGCATATATGCTGCGGGACAGTAGAGGTGGCCCGTTGATGGTGACAACTCAGTATGGGTATTCCTCCACGTCAGTATATATTCCTAAGACATTTTTCTGGGGAGGGTACTCCTCCGTATTTAGCCCCGATTGGATGGCCATGACAGGTTGTCATAAGAAACTCGGTAACCTAGGGTGGTCTCTCGAAACACCAGGAGGGCACTGTTAGGGGTAGTGGCCACACAATTGTATACTAGCAGATGTAAACTAAAATGGAGTGTATACTAGAAGTATATGAATTGATTGCTTTTCTATTTCTTCTTCCACATAGCTTAGGATTAATTAATAAGAAGATCTGAGTTCTTTTTGCTTTGTGTCACTCTACCCTTATGAATGTATTAATCCCTGCTTAGACTCTAATCGTACCAGTGGTGTAAATAAATTATTAGCATAGTTCTATATTATAAATCTTTCTTTGGGATTAAATAAATATGATACCTTGGAATACTTCTGGGTAAAATGCTACAATAGTATATCCGTGCGCTTGCGGATCCCTTATGTAATCATATATATACCAGGACTATTTCTGGCGTCATTACTGGGAATTTATATTTCTAGTAACATCGTTAAGAAATACCATCAAGCATTTCTAGCGCCGTTGCCGGGAAAGATTAATAAAGAGATTACTATAAGCTAATAATTTTATATGCATTACCTCTGTATAGATCACTGTCCTTTGTTGGCTAACCTTGATTGTTTTCACCCTTAAGGAGTTGCCTCCATGAATTCAAAGGAGGAGGTTTATGATCAAAGATGAAACCATTCATTTGCCTCCAAATATTCCTAGTCCCACAAAGATTTTTTTTCCATGAAACAATGGCTTTGATAACAGTTTCTTGATTGTACCATCATGTTATCCAAGCTCAGAGATGTGTCCCAGGAGATACCTAGAACATCATAGCAAGACTTTGCAAAGGTACACTGAAAAAAATAGACGCAATAGATTCTCAAGATGGTGAATTGGACAAAGAACACAACTAAGATCACAATCAGGTGGGGGCACAATGCTTATGGTCCAACACATATTTTGTGTTCAACCTGTCCATCAAAAGTAACCAACAAAAAACTTTAACCTTTGAGGTAGCCTTACTCTTCCATAGCCAAATTTGGCCAAAGAATTGATGAAGCTGTCCATGTTCTGTAATCCAATTCGGCCACCTGTTACAGTGTTGACTTCAAACAACCGCCAAATGTGCATACGAGCTCTGT